GATCACTGGTATCTAAGTCTTCCGCTGTGCTATCTTATACCTTGTATGGAAAGGTCGGTTCTTGTTCTGGTCTGCACCTATACGGTATGCAACACCAGCTCATCACTCAACCAATCAACTCTTCTCTGCGAACTGGGCTCCATACGGCAGTGGTCAGCCTTAACCCAAATTGGTTGACATCAACAGAGTTGGGCAACATCGCAAGTGTGAGACAGCTGCGAGAAATCAACAGAAAGCTGCAAAGGGACATCATCAACAGAAAAATTGCGTTCATTGAACTCCACATTCTCCATGCGGGATAAAAGAAATCAAGGTCTGAGTTTGGGACGCGGGACCGGTTGCCGGCAGCAGGATAGAAATGGTAGGCCTTAAGGAGGGGGGCAGGGGGACTGATGGTTCTGCTGGTGCCCCCCAGTGGTTTCCATCTTGTCTCCAAGCCAACCAGGGGCTTGGATCTAGCAAGAGATGGGACGCTGGACCCGGTTTCGAGCCGTAGGGAAACTTCAAAGTTCTCAGAGATGGGACGCTCAAAAGTTATTGAGTTTGCAACTTTGCGTACTCAACTTTTAACTTTGCGTATAATTTTACGAGGGATGGTGGGCCCGGGGTTCCCAGCACGTGCTGCTCCCCACAAATAGATTGGAGCTTTTCGCCTAAGAAAAGAAGGGGAAAAAAAAAAAAAAAAAAAAAAGAGGGATACAACGAGACTGGAAACACCACTGGGGGTTGATTGAAGACCATGCAAGGCTGATGGAAGCATCACGCGTTCACAGCACTGGAGGAAAGTCCCAGCGGACTGCTGCAGGCAAAAAGCGCATTGAATAGCGGTCAATCATCCGTCAATGTTACGAGTGTTCTTTATCCTCTCAAAACCAAACCCTGTACGCAAACGGTAGCATACGAATTCAGAAAGTATAGCTCTTAAAAGAAGGGGAAAAAGAAGGAAAAGAAGAAGAAGAAGAAGAAGAAGAAGAAGAAGAAGAAGAAGAAGAAAAAGAAGCTATCCAGTCAGTACCTGCCCAAGAAATAGCCCGAGCATGTTTGCACCAACCCTCCCATCCCATCCCCTCACCATTAGAGGGGAAAGAAGGATGCCAACCGTTTGTGGATGCTGCTAGGAGGAACAAGAACACCCGTTATGGTTGGTGCAGCAACGACATCTCACTCTCCAAGCCGCTGCTAACCCTCCCCTCCCCTCCCC